TTTAGCCTTTTTTTCTGTTATTATGTTTGTTCCTGCATTTTGAAAGAAAGCATAACATCCATGCGACACTTGCATGTATGATGTGGCACAAACTAATTAACTAGCTAGTTTTCTAAATCCAATCATTAGGGATCTCCAATGGATGAAGTGTATCTTGTAAACAACACAGAAACAAAGTCAAGCAATTCTGGCATTACTATGTTTAGGTCAAATATAAGCAACTTCAAACACAGCGAGGAATCCTGGATCCCGGAGGAACCAGAGATAGAAATGTTGTAAGCAGGTGTTTCCTTGAGGAAATACCACAGTATAAAGAATGTGCTATCCACAAGAATCTTGTCTCAATGTCCCAGGAAAAAAGGCTCTGAAGCTGCTGCCTCAGATTTCAAGGCTTTTCCGTTTAAGCTGCCATCTGTACCAGCTGCATTCATCCATGCCTAAATGATTTTCAACGTCTGTCTCCTTTGCTTTCCCTCTTTTTCACTATGTGTTGGACTCTCCTAAACTGCTCCCTGGCTCTGTGTCCCTTTTCAGTGTTTTCACAACCTCTTAAATCCTAGCAATAAAGGGCTATTTGACCTAGAATGGTGGACATATTCAAGCAATAAACCAGAGCTAAAAGACATATACTGTACAGTATGTACTAGAACTTCCATTATAGTGTCTCAGGAAGGCATATCTTAGTATCTCCAGTAACAGGTTCTTCCATGTGTCATAATTAGATATTTCTAACTAATAAAAACTGCTACAAAATGTTTAACTGGAGATCAGATTTTGTAATTTAATGAGACAGGAGTTTGAATTGCAATGGTAAATTGACAAAATGTTTTTAACATAAATTACTTAAAAGCTATTTGAAGATTGTGGTTAATATGGGAATGCACAGTACTGAGTAATTGGACTGAGAAGAAAGCATTTGTTTTTGTTTTTTCCCTCATAGTAATTGGAAGTTCCGCTTTGTTGCAACATTTGCAGATAATTTAGGGTTACCACTAAAGGAATTAAAAGTTAATTAACTCTCCCAGCAAAAGTTAATCTTTTTTTGTTTCATAATGTAAGTGCATGGTGAGTCCTCAGCCTTGTTGTGGTGTTAGTTTAAAGCTTTCAAAATTATTTCATACAAAATGTCAATAAGTAGCCCATATATTAAAATAACACTAGAATGGTCCTATTTTAAGCTTGCACTTATTGCCGTAGATCCAATGCTGTCCCATGGTGGGGTTTACTTTATAATAGAGTTATCGCCATGGTAGCAGCCAGGTCCTGCATGGTTTCAGGTTCCTGATTTAATCAGCAGCTATGAGTGTGAGGGATATCTATGCCTGCTATGAAAACAAACAACACACAAAAGTGCACATGTCGTCCCTTTAGTTTTGGAACAAAGCAGTTGCTGAAAAGCAGCAGAGTCCCTACTGACCTCCCTAACAGTGAAATAACACATAAAATCCATGCCTTGCGTTATCCACCGGGCAAACCCAGAAGCGATGTGTCTGGGCAGTTTAGTCCTTGTGGTGTGGCCCACCTGTACATTTATTTTGGTTGAATCCGTAACTCATCAGGATTTATCAAGTTCTCTTTGTAATTGCTGAACCTGTCAAGTTTTCAGCACCAAACTACAAAGATGTTCACAGACAACATCAGCAGAGCAACAGTACAGATAAATTACATTTCACTGACTGATTCTGCTCCTTCAAGTAAAAATAAATGTACAAGAAACACATCAGAGGACAGCCATAATGCTGCGCTCCAATTTATTTGTTCGATCAACAAAAAAACTGAGCAGAAAGTTTGGTGCCAACAATAAAGCAACTAGCGTGCACCAGAAATAGTATCAATTTAGCAAACAATCTGCTTCAGACAGAACAGTGGCAGACATTACACCTTGTTATATATAACTAAAAGGCTCTCTCTTGGCTTTATATCTTAACATTTAAATCATGGCTACTGCTTTAAACATTTGACCTTATACAGATTTTTTAAACACAATTCATGTTTTGAAGAATCTGCATTAGAATATAAGCATACAGTGGTTAAACAAATAAGAAAAGTCGATTATCATTAGTTATTGCCAAGGATGCTTTTAGTTAAGCAATAATTAGATAAATCCTTTTCATGAATGATATGATTTTCTTAACAGTTCAAAAAACACTGCTGCTATTTGCAACCTCTTTCAGATTGTCATAGTAGATAAAGTAGAGAGGAGAAATTAGTTGGTGAAAAGTTTTTTTTTTTTTTTTATAAATATTAAATGGCCAAGATGGTTTAAAGTTCAGTGCTGTTTCAAGTAAGCTGATAATTAATAGAGTAATGGAGACATGCTTCATAACAGACCAGTACATAAAACACAGGCCCATTTCACAGAACATGTTTAACAAACTGAAAATTAAATTTTCAACTCTAAAAAGATCTAGCCAAAGGTTGGAAACTCTGAGTTTTTTTCAATTTCACAATGGCTGCAGCATGTCAGTTCAATCAACTCTAAGTAGGTCGACTTAGAGTTAAACATGTACACAACAAGTATGAAAAGTTATTATCAGTGGAGCACCGATTCGACAAGTCACGATGACATGAGGCAACAGGAAGTGCCAGTTTCACCCCACTGGAAATAGAGATTTTAAAGCAGAATTAAAAACAAAAATGGAATATGTGTTTAAAAAAACAGAGCAACAGCGCTCATCAGTCTGAGTCATCAGATACAAAGGAGAGGGATATGGCTTTAGAGAAGATTGCTACTCGAGTTAATGTGTAATTTTACATGTATGGCAGGCCTCTTTGACATTTAATAAAAGCACTCTCCTCTCTGTTGTTCCATTTGTAGATGACTATAATAGGATACCTCCTGATCAAACTAACATTCCCAATCTGACCTGAAACAATAAATGTTTTAAATTACATTTTTGCCAGGAGAAAGTGAATTTCAGCAAGTAAAGAGACAAAATTGTACTAGTAGGAATTAAGCTTTATATATATAGGAATGTTAACACATTTTAAGCGGTCATTTTCACATTACCAACTTGACTGAATATATATTCTGATACATGAAATACATTTCTTTTTAATCAAAGTAATAGAAATGATGACCACTAACAATAGGAATATAGGAATCTGAAATTCATTTTTAGACATCCAGAAGGTTTACTTTAGATGTGACAAATGTCATTTTGTTTGAAATGTTCATTTTGAAATGGAAAACATTTATAAATGATATGATATGAAGAAATACATATAGAGTCAAACCAATACGTATCAAAATGGCCTGCAATAGCCTGTTGTAACCACAATAAGATTATGATGTACACTAGTTACATGAATAGTAGTGGGAGAAGCTATTTAGGTTGAATTAAATGTCAGCAGGTTAAGATGAAATGCAACAACCTTCTTCTAACAGGAAGGACCTGTTCATCATCTCATGGGGTTCCTCCTCATTTTGATTTTATCTTCCATTGCACGGTAAATACTAAGTGGCTTTATGCAGCTGCTTTGGATGTTATCATCCCATTAAATGGCCATTATTAGCGGTTATCAGTCCCATAGAATGGCCAGATTACTTAAATTATCGAATTAATCCTAATCCTAACCCTCAAGTAATTCATTTTTCCCCCCACGTGATTACTTAATCTATTTATGTGTCATATGAAAATAATTTCTTTAGTTCCGCATGTTGCTCTTATTAGACTAATCCAAAACAAATAAATCTCATATCGTGTCAACTAAGTTGTTTTTCATCACCACATCAAATCCATGTGATTGAAACATCTGGAATGAACTCGCTTAAAATGCAGAATTAATCCTTTAAATTAGGTAAACTGTAAATAAAGTTGATTAAAAACTATGAAGTAGGTAAAGAGTAAAAATTCTTCCGGTTTTAGACATCCAAAGCGGCTGTTATCAATTATAAGCTGCATATTAACAGCCATGAGAAACTTATTAGACAGGGAGGGGAGGCACAGCCGAAGCCATTCTATAGTGTTGTTTGACAGTGCAGTTATTTTCCACAATATCGTTATCACACATTAATGTGCTCTCACCAATATCAAGTTCTGTTTAACACCTGTTAAAGAAGTCTGTTTGCTGCAGATGTGAGGACTGATAAGTTTGTGGATGCATGGATTGTGAGGCAAAACGGTAGTGCTCATAAAGATACCTTTCCAATGACCATCTCCTTATGAATATTTAATTCTCTTCTTATTGGCTATAAGGAGGTTGGGGACTGGGTCAGACTTAATTAAGGAAAACCTGCTCCCGACCAGGTTAGCTCTTGGGAAAAATTTACTTCGGTAACACAAATAGAGGTTGAGGAAACTCTTTGTAAAACAGAAAACTCTGAGTTTTTCCTGATTTCTGGGAAACTCAGTAAGCCTGGTTTGTGAAACTGGCCCCATCTCACTGGCAGGACGCTATGGCTTTGTTTGAAATAGCTGTCATATAGTATTGTTTTTCACCATTAATCTATTTAGCTATAAAAAAACAAACATGGTAATAGCATCATTAGTCCAAGTGAATGTTTTTGTTTCAAGTAAACCAGTTTCAAACAGTCTGAAGCTTGGGGGAACGTTTAAAATACAAATGCAGCAATACATACTTGTTTTCAGTTCAATCAAAGCCAAAGTAAATCTAATTAAAATATGTCTAGAATAACATGCTATTGAACACACATATCATAAAATTTAAGCATTTTTTTTCTTTAGAACTTTGTAAAATACTAAGGAACCAAAAAGTGAAGTAATATGCAATTTTTAAGTAAATAGCTATAAAATCGAAGCATGCTGATTTGAAATGACTAAAGGTGGGGGCTAGAAATTAAAGTAAAAAACTGGCCTCTGGTGAATTGAGCTTTAGCGCAAGCAAAAATTCTGCTTTTACAGAAAAACGCATCACAATAATGAAGCCTTTTTAAGGCAGCCAAAGCAGATGTAACATACTTGAAATTATATGTTTTATGCTGAGTGGTTTAAGCACAGTAAATCCAACAGAAGATACTTTGTAGAAAGAATGCATACCTCGTCCATTGCAAGGCAGGGTTGATGTTCCTCTGCATTTTTTCAGACTGCTGTCCAAAGACAGTGAGCAGCTATGTGGATGCTCACATTTCTTCCCTGTCCATCCCTCTTTGCAATCACATGTGCCACAGTTACACTGACCATGACCTGCCCAGAGAGCAGAGGGAAAAATGAAGGTGGGCAAGAAGAAACCAGATATGATTTAAGAAGAAAAGGCATCATAAAACCTCAACTTTTTAAAGTGATATGAGAAATTTACGGGACTTTGCTGTTACACTGCAGTATTATTATGACAGCAGCGTTCAGACCTGAGCAGAAGTCATCTGTGTATCGGTCATATGTTGATTGGCAGTTCCTCTCATCGCATTCACAGGTGTCTCCATGAATATCACCCCAGTCGCCAGAGGGATCTACATCATGGCAGGTACATTCCCCGCATACACAAGTCCCTAATGTAAAGAAAAAAAATAAAAAATAAACATCACATCCATTACATGATGTTTCTCCACAGAACATTATTCCCATGACGGGTCTTTTGAGGATTTTGTAAAAATTACATTAAAGACAGTTTTACATTTCGTTCCAGTCAACAATGTTATTCTTTTTAGCGTGGTGGTGGTGCAGGGGTAGAACATGTGAGCTTTTTTTCTCAGTTTTTGACATCCGGGATCAGAGTCTAGATCTTTTTTGCATTCTCCCCCCTCTCTCCAGCCCATTCAAAATAAAGGCCACTATAGCCACATAAAAGAATCATCATCATCATTATCCCTTCATTAGATCTAATTTCTAAAAACATTTTTTGTAATATTTATGATAAACTAGAATTAATAAATGAGAGGAACATTGACATAGTTTCATGTTTATGTACTAAAATATGTCAAGGTATATTTGTATTCCCGACACATCTCTTTTAGAGAGTGATATTTTAGCTTTAAACGTTGTTTTTTAAAATTGTTCCATGTTTTGCCTAATTACTATGTTTTTTTCATTTACACATTAGCTTGGTATTTTTTATGCCCTCTGATTTGTTAATATTGTTGTAGTGCTTCTTCTCTAATTTATTTTTGTGTAGTGTCCTTCATGTCTGGTTTATTTGTTATCTTTTCAGAGGTTATGTTCTAGTTCAGTTTTGGTTTTGTTGTTTCTGCTTCTGTGTAATTAGTTCAATCACTCTAGTTTTTCATTGCCAATAATAATCCGAATCAAATAAAAATGTTTGCCTATTGCTATCAAATGTTGTGAGTGCGATGGTCGAATCAGTTTAATGTCCCTACATGTGGTATTAAGGTACCTTATGGGCCTATTGGAGGTTTGACTGGCAGAAATACCCTTGAAAATGCCCTCGGCAGCCATTTCGGCCCGGCAAGATGATATTGAGGGTGGACAGGTCGGGACACACAGTTTGGTGTTGCAGTTCCTCCGGAGTGCAATGAGGCTGTTCCCTCTTATTTGTTACCATCAAATTACAATAGTTAAAAGATGTTAATTTCATATGAAAAAAAGCAAAACAAAGAAAAAAACAAAGTAGAAGTGATTCATTTTATTTTACATATCTTTTTTATGTATCCAAAGTTAGGAACATCTTACTGTAGGACACACAGTCCCAACAAAATAAAGCGAGCCCCACTTCAATTAAGTGCAAACTGAAAAAACTGTTGTTTGTCTTAGGGAGCCAGCAGATTGTTCTTATTAATAGGTAGTAAAAGGTCATTTGATGAGTGTTCTTTCTAAAAGACTTTCAACATTGGTTTGCTAGAATAATTCCATCATACAAACAAGGCAAATATATATTTATACACTATAAAAAGAAATAAAAAATTGTCTTTCTGCTGTTATATTCATTTATTTTGTATAGTGACAATAAAATTATTTTGATTTTCTTCAGTTTTTTTATCGTTTACTTTATCTTTATACTTTCCTCTTTTTATTTGTTTAACATCTTAGCCTAGGCATTAGCAAAGCAGCAGCTGGTGGAAACCCATTTCCTCTTATCAGGGGAGACAGAGCAAAGGGAACCCCAGGGGAGAAGGCCAGCTGGCAGGCCTAAGGGGCTGAGGCTGCCGCACGTCTACCCTATGGCTCAGCATTCAGTCTTCCTCGTCCTTTTATAACCCTGCAGTCCTGGATTAATAGACCTATGAATTATCTGTCTGCCATCCATGTTTTATTTATTTAGATAAACAGAAAGAGTGGCATTTGCATTCCTAACCTCTATCACTCTTTAGAAGACTGATGAATGAACTGCATAGAGTTATTAAAAATACCTGTATCGAAATCATAACCTTATCATCCTGGCATTAACCCACTTGCATCTATAAAAAAAAACAACATTAAAATGAACAAACAAAAACATTTGAGCAGCTGTCAGCATAGATGTGACGAAGACAAGACAGTGTTATGTTAGTAGCCTTTGGCAGTTAGCATCTGGTGTGTTCTATGCTGTCTACTGGGAAGACTAGGTAAGCCAAATCAGAGGATGTTTGATGCTTTGATGAGATAAAAGAGATTTATCTGCAGCATTCTGTCGGATAATCAAGCCATTTATCCAGGAGTGTCAGATTAGATGAAAAGAAGACAGTTAGCATACCACACAGAATCAAACACTTCACATCCCTGGATCTATACGAGATAATCATATCAAATCATCCCTTAATTATATGATCTTTCCTCCTAATTTATTGGTTATAATCAGTGAGAATTGTTTCACAGTCCTTTAAGTTTTGAATAATGCAGAGGAAATGGCTGCAAGTTTTCTATAATTGAGAACAACTATATTATAATCAGAAGAGACCTCCACACTTTGATTTTCTTAGTAAAAACTACGTAAAGCAGGGTGACAGTATGGAGTTTCTTATGATAAGAATGACTGTTTTGTTTCAGTTTTTCATTTACTTACATACTCTATGCGCATCTTTCCCGTAGACAGCTGGAGATAAGCACCAGCACCCCTCACGACCCCACTTGGGATAAGTGTGACAGAAAATTTATGGATGGATTCTATGAACAACCGTTATACAAAGTACCTGCACATTTAAGTGCTATTATTATTTTCATTGTTGTTGTTCATATTATTAATTTATTTAGTTATTTATTTTTACAACTATAGTTGCATGGTCCTGAGGCCTGTACCACTACTGGGTTAGCTAGACAACTTCAGCTCTAACCCTGACTGTCTGGCACCACAAAGCTGTATTCATTCTTAACGAGTGTTAGGATTATTTTTATTATGCATATATGTGCTTGTTAAGCCCAAAGATTACCTGCCTGTTAAGTGTCAAGACTTATGTTTTTCAAACAGTTTATGAAATTAGGACAGTTCTTCTGTTGGGACAAAAAGTAATCATCCTCGTTATGTAAGCATAAACTTTTGGGAATGGAATGGGAGCATTGTCATAAAACACTGTGAATTACCTTGATATAGCTGGAGCCAGTGAGGTCTCCACCTTTACAAACATGACATCATGATATAAGATAGGATGATGCGGCAGGGTGTGACCCTGGAAAAGTATAATTCTTTAACCGTTATTCAAGGCTGCTACTGACTCTCTGACAAGCGAGCCCAATGCTCCATTGTATCCATGCAATCCCTCTGGTCTGAGTAAGATTACCATTCTGTAAAAGCCATTATGTTTTTAAATCATTTAATACATAAACATTATAAAGTGCTTTCTTAAGCGCTTGTTCCGAGTGATCTCATCTCAGGAAATTCTTTCTTCACTGAAGACCTGATTTAATTCAGAGAAAAAGATGAACTTAAACAAAAAAACATCACAATAAAAGAAAAGATGATAGCTTGAATTCAGTCTTTAATGCTATCTTAGACACGTTTGGCTTTGTTCAAAATGTGAATACTCCCACACATTCCTAACTTCATACTTTGGACCTTGTGCAAATGAATGAATGTAAAGGAATAACAGTACAGTATTTCATCACAACTCGTCCTCTCTCACCAATTCTTAATAACCTCCAAGATAAACTATTCCCCTAAATGAAGATTTCACTTTAGCAGAAAACTATCATATAATGAAGTTTTCTGTGTCGCTTTGCAGTGCTGCAGAGGGCAAGCATTAGTTTATTCCCCTTCACAGGTCCATTATTTTGTTGATGAGGTTGCTAGTTCTCTTCATACTGCCTTAGGCAATATAGCATTTTGAAAAAAAAATTCAACAATAGAAATCTTGCTCCCTGGTTTAATGCAGAGCTGGACACTGAAGCAAAATGCTAAAAAATTGAGGAGAAAAAAATAAGATTGAGAGCGCTACATACCTATGGGAGTCCTACCTAATCTGGAAAAACACGTTACTGCAGTATAAACTGACCCTTCATAAAGCAAGAGTAGCATATTTCTTCTCAATAATAGAGGAAAATAAGAATAATCCAAGATTTTTTTTTAATACAACTGCCAAACTCCCCCAGAGCCATAGCTCTGTTGAACCTGATTTTACTGTATGGGATTCTTTATAAAAAAAAAAAAGATTGATTCTATGTAAAAATATGATCATTTTTACATAGAATCAATCCCCCCTCTCCGGAGGGTTAGGCAGCATCTAAGGTAACTATAGAAATCTCAACTGGGTTAAGACTGTTTTCATCCAGTTGAACTTTCAGAATTAAGCAAAATTATTGTCTTCATCCAAGCCAATTCCAACAAATTGATTTAAGGACGTATTCCCTCTGATGTCCATCTCCATCTCTATCTCCATAAATGTGATTAACCTATCTCTGCTACAGGGCTATGTACATCAGGCTATTAAGCTAACTGTAATTTAGCCTAAATATACGAAGAAGGCTGTGATGTTACTGTGAAAGGGAATATTATTCATGCGCAGGGACTGAAACAGAAATGCTATAAAGTTTCATTTAAGTAGACAAGACATTGAGGTATTTCTGTACATCTGCAGCCGCATTTGAGGGCTTACACTGTTTAAAAGCAGAGTAGATTTTTAATATTTGACCCCACTGAGTTGTTACACAGCTCAAAAATCAGGATCTTTTCACTTATCACTTATTGTATTAATATGATGCAAGAAGTTGTGGTTGTGCTTTCAACTTTATTGTAGCCCATACGTTTTGGAATTAGGAAGTCCAACTAACCACATAAGTTACATTTTTGTGTTTTGTTTTAATCTATATCCAAGTTGTCTTGACTAAAGAAGGGTACAAGAATATTATCTGTATAGTGATTGGGATGCATGGCTGTGAAAAATGACACTGATGTGTAACTTGCCCAATTATGCAGTAAGCAAACCTTTGCCATGCTATTTGCCGCCTCTTTCATGCTGTCACTGTGTTTGGCTTTTCCTTGGAAGCTTTGTTTTCCTCTTTGTATTTCAGTAAGATGATATTTCTTTCCTCACAGGAGAAATATGGCACTCTCCCTTCTCCCTTATGATGATTGGTCAACTACCTTGATCCTCCCACTTTCTACGTTAAAAATTTCACAATAAGTAAAAGCTGGATTTAGTTAGAGGTACCGCTAATCCTTGTTGTTGTGGATTGGTTAATTTGAATAACCTGAAATTATTCACACTAGGTGACTTTGCGTAATGGTATGGGCCTCTGTTCTCTGAAATATTTATTTTTTCACCTGTTTCCATGTTTTTTATTTAATTTCCTATTTCATTTTGCATAGGGTGACCTAATCCTGCTATTGTTTAGCAAGTGTTTAGCAAGTATTGAAATAGAGTTGCAATTTCTTTTTGTTCATTTTCAGCTCCATTGTTATTATAATTTTTTTTTGTTCGAGTCCATAATATGATGTTTTTGCCCTCTGCCCACAAAATGAGCACAAGCCAGACTTTGACATCTGCTTGATTTTAAAAGCTCTAGGAAATGAACATGTAAGCTTTAAATTGGGTTACAGAGCAAATAGAATCTTTCTATCTTGATTCAATTAGCCCACACAATTAAAATCATATGCATCAGTTTGGGGAAAAAAAGCCACCCACAGCACATCATGCTGAGAACTAAAAAGATTTTTTATGACAATTGTTGTTGGTAACATGTTTTAGCAATAATATTTACACTTTTCTGAATATCAAATCATTTGCTTTATATCTTGATTTACATTGTGTTTTAAAACATATATGCTGACTAAAATGTGTAAACAATAGAATCAATTAACAAAACTCAAGAAAATAACAGAAGATAAAACATTTCAGTCAAAAAGGAGTATTCATGAGAACATCAAAGCCTGTTTAAACAGACACATCCCTTATTCGCTTTTAAAACAGACTTGTTTGCAGATTGGCTCGAAGAGGGCTGGTCTTAAAGTGTAGGTAACATGACCTTAATGGCCGGTCACTCTAGCATTAGGCTTAGTCCTCAAAGCAAAGCATTCCGGGATACATCTGCATCTACTGAGGCCTTTCTTTTCTTCTCATACTCTTCATAGACACTTTTTCTCTTACAACCCTTGGCCATTTTTAAAGAACCACGGTGAGAAAGGTGCACTTCAATGACTGTCTGAAACCGTAGCTCACCACAGATATACGGTTGAAAGTGTGCATGCGCAGAAAAAGGTAGCTGACGGGATGAGCATGTAGGACAGCGTTTACATAAACATATCACGAGAATGGTTTTAAGGGATGTATCTGTGATATGTTTAGAAGGACCACTTATTTAGATGATCCACCCGGAAATAAAAGATTTTATACCGTTAAGGAACGGTCACCCAAACAAACACTTTTACTGAAGAAATGTATTTCTTTATCTCAGTCACTTTTACAAACCTTTAGTTGTGAGTAAATGTAATATTTTGACTCTAGTGTGTAATTTATAATCTATCCTTTGTGAAACAAAGTTAGATGATCCTTATATAAGGCCAAAAAGATGTTCAAAACATGGATTGATGTACAATGGAAAAATTAACATTCTGAAAATAAAATTGGTGCATTTGTTAAATGTTGTTCTAATTTAAATGATTTAGGATGTTTAAAGATTTAGAACTGTTTTGCATTGTTCTATTCAACTTTCACAATTGAATAAATATTTTCTACATGATTCAAATGTTCATTTAGACATACAACTTAACTTGTAAAAGTTTTTGCAATACAGTTATTTCTGAATATGTATGATCTGAATTTCCCAAAGCCTGGGAAATTCAGATCATACAATTCAGATCATTTGTACTGGGAAAACAAACATCTACACCACAGATAAGGTCATTTTAGTACATTTCATTGCTCTTTTTTTCTCTGACTCCTCTGCACTTAAAAAAGGCAGCTCTGTGATGGGATCCCCATGTAGACTCATTTCATCCAACCATTTAGCAAGCCCTCAGTCAGACCACTGTAATTAATTCTAGAGAAATTCACTGAAATCCCACAGGGACACTTCAGTTAACATAAAAGAGATGGTCCTCTGATTGCCTGCTCGCCATGCTCTGATGATTCACAGAACATGATTCTTTTTAAGGGAGTCTGGCACCTGGGTTGTCTTTAGTTCTGTATTTTTTCTGACTGCTTTAACAGTTGGAGTTAGTCAAACTAAAAGAAAAGCCATGACCCAGTATTTTCTTGTTACATATGCCAACAGAAACAGCCAGGAAACATTAAACACAGGCCACAGATCCTACTTTTTAAACTGTTTACATTAACCTGTAGTTGTTTAATTCATTACAAGAGACTGCTTCATGTCACAGACCTGATTAATTATTATTTAATAGCTGTCTTAATGATGATATTATTATGATGGTAATGATGATTATGATTTTTACAAATAATTTTTTTATAACCTGGAGAAAAATGGGCATAGTCCAACTAACTTTTATCCCTCAGATGATCAAAAGAGACAAGAAATTAAACCGTGGCTCTGCTGAATGTATATTTCTTTTCTTTTCTGTTTCTATTTACTAAGCAAAACAAATTCAATGGTCAGTACTGTGATGCTGTTTATGCTGATAGCTCTGAAGCATATCTATCACGCAGTATTCAATTTTTTATGATTTTGGTAAACCATTAGCTTTGCATGTTAAGATGCTGGTGGCAAATGTTAAAGGAATTTATTCTTCCATGTATGAAAATGTTGTCATCATATAAAGATATATTAAAGTTAAATAATGTATGATCTTCCATACTAGTTATGTATTTTTCCAGCTAATAAAATAATTTTTTGCTAAGCTTAGGAATCATATACCAACAGTGAAGAGGTAAAACATACCTCTGTTGCTGCAGATTTTGCCGTCAGGAGAGGTGCATTTCCGCTTGCTTTCCCAAGGACTGATGTCACACTGGAACTCACATTTGTCTCCATGCCAACCAGCAGCACAGTAACAGTTACCACAGTAACACTGGCCATGGCCTGGGAGGACATGGAAGAACTCATAAGCTGTCATGTAGAAGACTGACAGATACATTTCAACATTTAAACAATCTTCAGCTATATCACTCCTGATTATATTTTTTCAGCTGTGAAACCACAAGTATTGCAATTACTATTAAGAGGATAAAAATCACTCAGTTTAAAAAAAAAATGTTTAGAAATATGGCTTGCATTTGCATCTGCAGGAAATCTGTTAACAACAATTACCTTCATGATAATTATAAAATAATTGCAGTACAATATAGGACAATCTAGGCAAATCACAATCTTTAAATGATTAGAATCTGGCCTCTTTGAGAGAAAGGCAAGGATAAAGTGTAAGGGTCTCTGGGGTTCGGCTGTTTTTCTGGTGTGGTTCTTGTCACAGAGAAGATCTTTGCTATCAATAAAGATGACTAGCATGTTTATAAGGAGGTGAAGGATCATCTGTCTTGGTTGGATGATTACCAATGATGGTATTCCAGCCTAAGACTTAAACCAGGAATATCTTTCTCAAAATGTATCTTCTTGTGAACCTCTCTTAATGTGGACTTTTTTATTGTTCCACACAACCAGTGAACTCTTCCATGAAGATCATCTCCGATCTTCATGGAAAAGGTCTTACCTGTGTGCCGCAGTTCCCAGTATGCATCTCTTGCCTGCCTGCTCTCCAACACAACATCTCTTGCAAGTAATGTTCTCGGATCTCACTAACATTTTCCTGGACCTCTGGGGTATAGTCTGCAAAGCCTGCTGAATCAAACCGCCACAGATCCATGCTACTGTACCTCCCCTTCATCTCTCAAGTAAGGAAACCAATCAGCCATCAGTTGTCATCGATCAACTACTTCCTGATCAGTCAGCATTATCCCCTCAGATCAACGAGATGACTTTCTGCAGCTCTACGATCCCAGATTTTTTTTGCTTTTGTAAATAAAATGTTAAAACTCACTGGTTCTCTGTGATTCTGCATGATGGTAAAAAAAACAAACTACAAACCAACATGATAGAAAGCTTTCGTAAAAACAACAATATGACCCTAATTAGATATTCATCCTATCAAACTTGAAGGTAGCATAATATTTGTCTACTGAAGTGCTATGAGCTCGTTAAGTTGTAAAAGTCTGTCATATTAATTTCCAGTGAAAGACACTGTAGATTCCAATGTGACAAAATATCACAAAGTTCAGCTGTACCATTGCAAGGAAATGCATTGTGCTCCGTTTGTTCTATTACTCATAATAGATGCATATAAACGTGGAGCCTATTATAATTTCACACCTGACACATTAATTCTAGACATCCAAAAGCTAACTGTTCATCTCAAATTAGTTGTCAAGTTATATTTTATCTTGTTACCGGTGGTGCAGAGGTACAGGAACAAATGTTATCCACTAAATAAATAAAAATGCAGAATTACTGTAGTATAATTACTGCAACTCTCTGCACAATCTGTAGCCTGTCATGTCTTATCTTCAAATGTTAAACATCCTTTATTTCTCAACTCTTTACTGGAGTCTTACTAGAAAGAGTTGGAGGTAAAAAAGAGCAACTGTGAGCATAATCTACCTCCACAAACCTCTCCCGTGTCCTCATCCAGGCATTCACTGTCGTCACATTCACAGAAGCGTCCGGTCACTAAACCCTTCTCGTTGTTATTGTCACACATGCAGCTCCCACAGTGACAGGTCCCTGTAAAAAAATAAATTCTTACACAGATTTATTGTTAATTGTCAAGATTCCAGGTTTACTTGCTTCCAAATAGTCAAATCTGAATTCAGAATTCAGCTGGTTAACAGTTGTGTACTCAAAGAAGTATTTTTGCACCAGGTACCAACAGGTTTAAGCCACTGCTTTACAACCAAAAGTGGTGATGTGTTTTTGCATGTGTGCTGGAGCTTTTTGGATTAGTTGTTACAAAAGCAGAAGGCTAAAAAGGCACATGGTGTGAATACATTAGCATTTCTACATATCGAATTGGCCACATTTTGTATGATACATGCTTTGATGCACTCTTGTACACATACTGTACCACATGGATACGGACAGAGCCATGGAGAGTTGTTTATCCCTCATTTAGCTGGAAACACTGCAAACACATGGAGAGGCTGAGCCCAGATGGGCAACTGCCTAAGTGCTGAGACCAATGATTGACCCAACATTATCCATGACATTGAGACATGGACAATACAGATGGACATTATGAATAAAATATTCATAGACATGATATTAGAGGCTAAATTAATAAAATGTTGCATTCTTCAGGATTTTTTCAAAGATATTACTTAGATATTGGATGCTTAAACATTAGGTTTACACAGCAAGAAAAATATCTTCGCAACAAGATTTTGGAACCATTAATTAACACAAGCTGATTTACGAACAATCTAGTATTAATCTATAACCCTAATAAAAATTTGTTTGACGATGCAGAGGATCATATGAGATGATACACCACCATACATAAATAAAGATATATCTGGGTTTGGTAAAATTGATTTACCATGAAATACTATTGAAATCTGGCATACACTGTACTGCACCATAAATTTGTGGATATTTAAACTATGCCCATCCTTAATGACTTGGATCAGTGGCAAAAATGGAATCTGATTGAGGAAAACTGCAGTTGTTCAGTTATTAAATATGGCTTATTAAATAAGTTATTATCATGGCTTATGGCTAAGAACCAGAAACTGCCCAATACCACATTTCTTAAGCCGATGTCGATACTGATTATTTTCACATCAGCCCAGCCAATCAATTGTATGAGCTGTCGTTTTTTGGCTTTCGCTTTCTCTGTTTATATGATAAAAACTAGAAAAGCAGTCAGATAGTGCAGACCTCCAACAATTAGCATTTTTTACCGACATATTGTGACTTCCATCTTAAGTTAATATCTGTATTTACGGTATCTTTCAAAATCGTCCTTGATCTGAATGGTGATCCGGATCCTTATCATCACCGAAATGGAATAATTTGTTGTCGGTCACAATTCTCTAAACATTTCGGCTACATCCATCCATAACTTTGTTTGTTATTTCGAAAATAGACAAAGAAATTAACCAGGGCCAATGAAAACATTATTTCCTTGGTGGAGCGCTAATTAATTACCTTTTTTTAAATTAATTGATTAAGAAGTAGTAGGTATTAAAAAAGTTCCTTAAAGAGGATTTTATTCAGAATTTAAACCAGCTGAAGGTAAAACTGTGCAACTTGAGAAGTTACGGATATAGCATATTGAAGAAATAATTACAGCGCTGAGTGTGTTGCTCTCATAGCTAATGGCATGTTTGAGTCTCTATACTTTATAAGTTAAAAAATGAATAAATCACTAGTTAATTAAACTTATTATTAATCGATTGTTATTTGGGAATGATTTCAATAATAGATTAATGACAATTCTAATCTATTGTATCAGCCCTAATTGGCCGATACTGATAACAAGAACAAAGTGCAAAAATATGCCAAATAATAACGATTGGCCAATGTATCAGTCTATCTTCACTAAGAACACACCGAGTGTGAGCAGTGTGTAGGTTGGATGGCAGGCATTAAGGATTGCCCGCTACACATGGACAATAATGACAACAGTCTTCTGATGTAAAGTTTGCTAACGTTAAATACTGTGATACAGCTTCTCAAACGTATTTGTGTTTTAGCTTTTTAATATAGAGGGCAAGCCAGAAAGAGGCTTATTAAAAGTTGTTCTGCAACAGTGCTCTGCAAAGGTATGTCATGTGACATGTTTTACTTTTCTCTCTGATAAACTAACACAGAGTAGTGGAAGAAAAAAAATCTGAGATTGTTTTATACTTTACTTTAAGGAGCCTAGGCGGAAGTTCAACTGAAGAAACTGATTGCTCGCCTACACCTTCGACACATCTAATCATCTTTGAACCACGCCTCCAAGAAAGCCAATCGGCATCCAAAGTTCATCTTAAAAGGCCTCCGATCCGCAACTCGTCTGCTACCGAGTGCGCAGGCGGTGGTTGCGCTGTGTGACTTTATTCAGATGACCCCGTTTCAACCCACCTCCAGCCCCTCCTCCTCCAACGTAGCAAAAACTTCATCAGAGTGTCATTCCTCCCGGACTTACTGCATTCCATGCCTCCTTTCAATCAGTCTGGCAGAAGACCATGTTGAGCCTTGTTCTGCCAGAGGTTTCTTCTAAATGGGGAGTTTTTCCTCTCCACTGTCGCTTCATGCTTGCTCATCATGGACAGGTTCTCTCAACCTGTGTTATCCAACTGGACTTCCATCTTCCAGGTCCCTGAGTGAAGCTCTAGTATCAGCTCAAGCAGTCCACTGGATCTCCCTTTAAAGCTCAGCGTACTGTCTCACTAACCAGCAGTCTACAGACTGACCAAATACATCTATCTCCATTCCACCACCAGTTTCAGGTCTTGGGGGGAAACAGCGCTGTTCTTTACTCCTGTCCATGCATATTTATCAGAATTCAGCACTATGTTTCCTGCCGAGGTCTGAGCGCCAAAGACCAAGTAATTGTATCAATACATTTCTTCTAATTGTCTTTTCTCTTCACGTGAGTTTTTCAGATTGAAATACATAAATGTCGTGTTGCATACTTTTCTGACTTTGCACGTCTATGTAGAGAACAGTTATACTTTTCATTTTCACAGAATACCACTTTTTTCAGTGGGGGTACTTTGTTCAAACTGATGTTCACTGTTTGTTTTCTGCATAAATAATTCTTACATTTGATGCCGGTAATGATGTGTTCAATTCAGTATTTTTCCATCTTTTGATGCTGGATTGAATAACGCACCTGGATATGTACACAGCTAAGGATAATATTTTGTAACCCAATCATGCTTTTACTGTACATTTTCCACTGGTATCCCTGGCCTGGTGTGTTTCCTGGTCTTAATGATTTTGTTGGACAAATTTGACCAAGAAACCTTTGAGGCCTTGACAAAACTGCTGTAATAATGCTTAAGATAACATGAATCAAAGTTCTTGGCTGTTCCCAGTACGCCATAAAATTCTATTTATTTTTGTCATGATGGGTACACTAAGAGTGACCCAAATATGCAGAACACCATTAGACGGACACAGGAGTAAAAGTTTAACAAGTTTATTTTGTCACAAGCACACTGATTTGACTGGTTCTGGTTCGGGCCTGGAAACTGGTTCACCGGAGTCTGCGTGAGAGACAGTTCAGTTAGCGTTGCACTTTGGAGCTTGCGTTCTGGATTGTTACTGATTGTACCTTGAGGGTTCTTGTAGATAACTTTGAGAGGGTCACTGTTGGATCTGGAGAGGAGTTGATCAGCAGAGTCCGTTAGCTGCTTCAGCGTCTTACTTCTAGTTCTGAGCAGACCTTGGCTTTGGGTTTTCCAGCTCTTAGTCCTGAGCTGCATGAAAGTTCACTGAGGTTCTTCAGGTTTGGCTCTGAGGGTCAGCTCGGCAGGTTAGCTCTTCCTGAGCTCCACAGAGGAGAAACTGGTTTTCTGGAAGACAGAGACAAGGGTTAGAATCCAGGCTGGATTCAAAGTCACAAAGATTCACTGAGAGTCTAGGCTTAGGCGCTGACCAACTGGATCAACACTGCGGCGTTGAGGCAAGGTCTGAAGACAGCTTATGTAGTGGATCCTCTGATGATCTGAAGGGCTGCAGCTGTGCAGAAGGCTCACTCAGGAGGATCCACGGCGGACTCTGCTGGAGAAAGGTGGAACTTCTCCAGCTCCCAACAGTACCCCCCCCTCAACGACCGCCCCTTGGCGGTCCGGAAGAGGTCGAAGGGCAGGAACGCTCGTACTCCTCGATTAGGGCAGGGTCGAGGATGTACGAGCCCGGAACCCACTGGCGATCCTCCGGTCCGTAGCCTTCCCAGTCGACGAGGTACTGCCAGCCGCGACCTTGTCAACGGGAGTCCACGATGCGTCGAACGGTGAAAGCGGGATGACCGTCGATCTCCAGGGCGGGTGGTGGGGAGTCGGAAGGTGGGCACAGAGAACTCGAGATGACAGGTTTTATTTGGGAGACATGGAAGGTAGGGTGGATCCGAAGAGACTGGGGCAGTTGGAGACGGACGGCAGATGGATTGATGACTCGGGAAATCTTGTACGGACCTATGAACTTGGGTGAAAGTGGACAGCCATACCTCTTGGCCTTCTGAGTACTCGGAGGCAGGACGTCTCCTGGAGTCAGCGAAGCATTTGTTGGTCTCAGATGAACGATTGAGGGTTGCGATGGTATCTCTCCAAATCTTTTGACAGCGTCTGATGTGGTGATTGACTGACTGGACCGAAATCTCTCTCTCGTCTGCAGGAAAAAGTGGAGGTTTATAACCGAGACTGACCTGAAAGGGAGATTGTCCAGTGGAAGCAGATTTGAGGGAGTTGTGTGCATATTCGATCCATGTAAGATATTGGCTCCAGTCGACGGGATTGTTGGAGGTGAGACAACGAAGGGTTGATTCTAGCTGCTGGTTCATCCTCTCTGTTTGTCCGTTGGATTGAGGATGATAACCTGATGTCAGAGAGGGTTTACAGCCGAGTGCAGAACAGAATGCCTTCCAAACCTGGGATATGAACTGGGGACCCCGATCCGAGAGGATCTCCTGGGGGATGCCATGTAAGCGGAAGACGTGTTTAACTAAGAGCTGGGCTGTCTGGAAGGCCGTGGGAAGTTTCCTAAGAGGGATGAGATGACAGGACTTCGAAAAACGGTCAACAATGGTGAGGATTGTGGACATACCTCGAGAAACAGGGAGGCCGGGGACGAAGTCAATCGCTATATGGGACAATGGACGCGAGGGAACCGGAAGTGGCTGTAGCAGGCCAGAAGGAGCTTGATGTGAGGCCTTATTTCGGGCACATGTGGAGCAAGCCAACACATACTCCTTGACATCTCTATGGAGGGTCGGCCACCAGAAGCGTCTTGAGATCAAGGCGACGGTTCTACTGACCCCCGGATGGGCGGAAAACTTGGCTGCATGCATCCATTGGATGAGACGGGACCTGACAGAAGATGGCACATAGGTTCGGTTAGCTGGACCGTTACCTGGATCGGGTTCTGTAGCCAGGGCGGAGTTGATTAGATCAGTGATCTCCCAGTTAACCACTCCTACAGTGCAGGAAGCAGGAAGGACTGGTTCAGGTGTCTCAGGATGATCGACGGAGTAAAGACGAGAGAGAGAATCGGGTTTGACATTCTTGGATCCGGGTCTGTAGGAAATAATGAGATTAAACCGTGAGAAGAAGATGGACCACCTGGATTGACGCGGATTGGCCTGCTTGGTTGACTGGATGTAAGCCAGGTTCTTGTGATCAGTCCATACAAGAACCGGGTGCTCAGCTCCCTCCAGCCAATGTCTTCATTCCTCCAGCGCCAATTTGATGGCCAACAGCTCACGGTCTCCCACATCGTAGTTCTGCTCTGCGGATGAAAGTCTACGAGAGAAAAGGGCGCATGGATGGATCTTTTGATCCGTGTCAAGTTTCTGGTACCGCTCCAACACCAGAATCTGAAGCGTCCACTTCAAGGATAAACTGTTTAGCTGGGTCAGGCTGCATTAACACTGGTGCTCTGGAAAATAAAGATTTAAATTTCTCAAATGCAGATTGTGCCTCGGGAGTCCATTGAAAAGTGCGTTTGACAGAGGTCAAAGAGGTTAAGGGAAGGGCAGTCTGGCTATAGTTCCTGATGAAACGAAGATAAAAGTTTGCAAAGCCCAGAAATCTCTGTAGCTGTTTGCGGTTCTCTGGAACTGGCCATTCTAACACGGCTTTTATCTTGTCCTCAGATGGTTTAACCTGGCCGCCCTCGAGCACAAACCCCAAAAAGGTGACTGAAGACTGATGAAATTCGCACTTCTCTGCTTTAACGAACAGCTTGTTCTCCAGTAGTCTCTGCAACACAAGGCGGACATGTCTTTTATGTTCAGAAAGGTTCCTTGAGTAAATGAGTATGTCGTCAATATAGACGAACACAAACACATTTAAAAAGTCTCTGAGGACATCGTTCACGAGGGCTTGAAAACAGGCTGGAGCGTTAGTTAAACCAAAAGGCATCACCAAATATTCGAATTGACCCAAGGGGGTTTTGAAGGCTGTTTTCCATTCATCTCCATCTCGGATCCTAAGAAGATGATATGCATTCCTTAAGTCCAGTTTTGTGAAAACTGTAGCCCCTTGTACAGGTTCGAATGCTGAGGCGAGTAGAGGAAGTGGGTACTTATTCTTTATTGTAATTTGGTTCAAACCTCTGTAATCAATACATGGTCTCAGGGAACCGTCCTTCTTACCAACAAAGAAGAACCCGGTGCCCAATGGAGAGGAAGATGGGCGGATTATTCCAGCAGCTAAGGATTCATTTATGTACTTCTCCATGGTCTCTCGTTCAGGTTTGGAAATGTTGTACAATCTGCTGCTAGGTAGTGGTGCTCCAGGTAATAGCTCAATGGCGCAGTCATATGGTCTGTGTGGAGGTAGGGACGTAGCACTGACCTTACTGAAGACAGGAGCCAGGTCATGGTACTCGGAAGGAACGGAAGAAAGGTCAGGAGAGTCCATCTCCCCCCCACCTCTAGGAGGCCCCACCATGATTCCAGGTGACGATCAGTCCAATTTATGTGTGGATTATGCTTCTCCAACCATTCGAAACCAAGCACCAGGGGAGAGCATGCAGATGGAAACACAAAAAATGTTATTGTCTCTCGGTGGTTACCTGAAAGAAGTAGCTCGAGGGGTTGAGTTTGATGGGTAACTTGGTGGAGTCTTTTCCCGTCAATGGCAGAAACACTAAGAGATTGAGTCAGAGGAATGGTTTCTATCTGAAGTTGTTGGACGAGGTTCGAATCGATTAAATTCCGTTCACAGCCTGAATCGATGAATGCAGAAAAAGAGAGGCTTAGGTTAGCACAAAACAACGTGGCTGGAAGCAACAGTCGAGGAGATTTTTTAGTGTTAATTTGGCCCGCCAGACTCCTCAGATCCTCTGGCGGGCCCAGGCTTTTGATTTAGCCGGGCAGGAAGCGATGAAGTGTCCACTCTCACCACAGTAAATGCATAATTTACTCAGAAAACGTCTTTGTCTTTCCTCAGGGGTGAGCCTGGTGTGTCCCACCTGCATGGGTTCGACATCTCTTTCACCAGAATGAGAGGCCTGAATAGGCAGAGGGAGAGACTGGGCCTTAGGTCTCTGTATGGGCAGCTGCTCTGTGGGGGAAGAACAAACAGTCACGTTATGTGAGGCAGAGGAAAGTGTCCCCTGATTTCTTGATTTAGAACTGTTTCTGGCACGGATTCTATTATCCAATCTGATTGTCAAACGAATTAATTCTTCGAGGGTGGCAGGTTTGTCGAGAGTTGCGAGCTCATCCTTAATGTACTCATTTAATGCCGTAAAATAGGCTCCCTTCAGAGCGCTTTGGTTCCATCCGGGAGCTGCCGCTTTAACCCGGAAGTTGATGGAGAATTCTGCCACAGAAGAATTTCCCTGCTTTAAATTGAAAAGAGCTCGAGAGTCAATAGTTTGATCAGTTTCTTGATTGAATACTTGGGTAAATTCGGAAATGAAGTCAGAGTAGTAGCAATTGAGGCTATCATCGGAGGCAAATCTTGCCTGAGCCCACTCCAAGGCTCTTCCTGTTAGCTGAGAAAGGATGAAAGTTATCTTTTTATAATCCGTGGAAAAACTGCCTGGAGAGTTCTGAAAAATCAAACGACATTGAAATAAAAATCCTTTGCAATCTTTCATGTTACCAGAAAATCTCTCTGGAAGACTTGGGCGGAACTCGGATGACGTCACTGCTGGTGACCTCTGAGGAGGAACTGGACCTGGAAATGGTTGTGGGGCCGGTGCGGCATTAGCGCCGTTCATGTAGTTAGCATAGCTTTGGATAGCTTGATTTTGCCTTTCAATGTGGGTATTTAACTCACGTAGAGCCAAGCCGTGTCCATGGATTTGGGCCGCCTGTTCCTCCAATCGATGGATGAAGTGATCTGCTGGGCCTTGAGTTTGGCCGCAGTGTTCTGTCATGATGGGTACACTAAGAGTGACCCAAATATGCAGAATACCACTAGACGGACACAGGAGTAAAAGTTTAACAAGTTTATTTTGTCACAAGCACACTGATTTGACTGGTTCTGGTTCGGGCCTGGAAACTGGTTCACCGGAGTCTGCGTGAGAGACAGTTCAGTTAGCGTTGCACTTTGGAGCTTGCGTTCTGGATTGTTACTGATTGTACCTTGAGGGTTCTTGTAGATAACTTTGAGAGGGTCACTGTTGGATCTGGAGAGGAGTTGATCAGCAGAGTCCGTTAGCTGCTTCAGCGTCTTACTTCTACTTCTTCTTGGCTTTGGGTGTTCCAGCTCTTAGTCCTGAGCTGCATGGAAGTTCACTGAGGTTCTTCAGGTTTGGCTCTGAGGGTCGGCTCGGCAGGTTAGCTCTTCCTGAGCTCCACAGAGGAGAAACTGGTTTTCTGGAAGACAGAGACAAGGGTTAGAATCCAGGCTGGATTCAAAGTCACAAAGATTCACTGAGAGTCTAGGCTTAGGCGCTGACCAACTGGATCAACACTGCGGCGTTGAGGCAAGGTCTGAAGACAGCTTATGTAGTGGATCCTCTGATGATCTGAAGGGCTGCAGCTGTGCAGAAGGCTCACTCAGGAGGATCCACGGCGGACTCTGCTGGAGAAAGGTGGAACTTCTCCAGCTCCCAACAATTTTAGGTGTATGTATTAGTTCTTTTGTGATTCACTAATTATGCACCACTATTTGCATGCTAGCAAGTCACTAGTTTTTGCAGCTATCTAAACCTTGCTTTTTAAGATCTGTGTTCTGATGTATGGTTGCAGTACCTCTGTTGGAGCAGATGACCCCCTGTTGGTTTTTGCACAGCTCCCGGCTCTTCTTGCTTGATAGGCTACATTCCTCCTGAAACTGGCAAGCTTCTCCAAACCAGCCTTCGTCACACTCACACATCCCACAGTCACAGTAGCCACGGTCTAGAGGGAAACATAACACACCACATGCTGTTTATAAGCATGCAGGTTATCAGTGCTCCAAATCAAAACCTTTTTTTTTTCTTATAGTGTATTTAATCATTGAATTTCAGTTGATTGGGATAGGTTTGTACAATAAAGTTATTGTGGCAATCCAGCTTTTTATGTACATACTTTTAAGTAAATAGATTTTAAACATGAGCTTCTATGTTCCCCTCATCTTTGACATGTCATCATCTCACATGAATTCATTCATAAGAACACTGTTCTGTGTTCAGAGTAGATACCCAAACTGACTGGCATCATCATTTCTCATTATTCTGATGGCCAGGCTGAGCAACATGAATCGAAAGGAGAAACCTTTTGATGCAAATGATAGCTGTCAACACGTTGTTATGAATCTTACCCTCATTGCCTTTAGCAGTGAGAGGCCTTGCATGTCATGCTCAATACTTCTCCATTCATCATGAGTCGTTCATCATGTAAATGTGGCATCATTTTCAAGGGCTATCCATTAGTCATTAGGAACATGGAGGTCCTCCCATCTCTCCTCATTTGGAAACATCTCTGGAGACTGTGGCGACTCGTTTAAGAAAAATTGACTTTTGAAAACAAGGAAGATTTAACACTTATAAAGAATTCTAGGAATACTTTGAACCTTTATCAAATTATGAAAAATTATACTCATGAAAAACAAATATTTACAGTGGGAGAGTGCAATAAGACTCAAATTCAGCTCACTGCTAAAACTTTATTGTTAGAGGTTTTAATAATTTGCAGTATCAAACTAGAGATCGTAGTTAAAAATTTTTATCTTATAATGCATTCATATTTTTTTTCTGTCTTGCCAAATATCCATCCATCCATTTACGGTACTTCCGCTTTATCCGGGACTGGGTCGTGGAGGCAGCAGTCTACAGTGGGCGCTGGTTGGAAATGGACACTTCACTCACGCTCCGCGTGTTTCACATATTGTGTGAAAAACATGTGACTACTATGGCCACTAGGTGGCAGTCTGAGTCCATTTCGGCATCCCATGAGTCAGATTAGATAGGTCAATGAGCAGACTGGAAGGGGTATGAGATGTTGCGAGCTGAGCAGATTATTGTTCCCCAGGTTTAGCGTAGAGGGTAAGGTGAATGGGCTGCAATTCCAAAGGTTAAGGGTTCGGTCCCAGCTGTGGTCAAGTTATTAATGTTGCCTTAAATGTTTTTCTTTTTTTTTTTATCACTTGATGGCCTATGATATCAGAAATTGTACAATAACTTCTTTAACTTATTTATATATATTACGGATAGTAGCCTATTATGCTGTTTGACTTTATGGCATCTTTCTTTTATTTAGATCAGCTGATGTGCGCTCCACCTTTCCAAGGAATTTCATTAGACCATAGGGATTATCATTCTACAGCCTCAATATCTTACTCTGATAATAATAGGCGTATTGTTATACTATTTTTGTTATTTTTATTATCATCTAGCTGGTAAAATTTTCAGTTTGATCTGGAAAAGGACGCTATGATGCCTTACAACAAGCATGAAAGGCCCAACCCCCCAGGCTTTTTAGGCACATTATGCAAGAATGCTGCTTGCTGCCGCGATGAATAGCGGCGTTTCTAAACTGTTGTCAGGGATGGTTGTGACCCACCCAAAAGTCAGTGAGCTAATCCGGAGTATTTCCATTTTAAATACAGTGAACCCTCGTTTATCGTGGAGGTTACGTTCCAAAAAGAACTCGCGATAGGTGAAATACGTGAAGTAGAAACCTTTTTTTTTTTTTTTAGAGTTATCATACGATGAAATACTCCTTACATCATTGAAATCAGGGAATAAAAACTTTATACAGGCCCAAGCATTTGCTTAACAAATAAAAGTACGGTATAAATGTTAACTACTGTACTGTACTGTAAAATAATATAGTTATAAATACTTTTAATCATCAATACGAAATGAAGGGTTAATATTGCGGGGATCAGCACCGCCCCGCCGTGATGGATTGGATTTTTCTTCCAAAGCCTGCGGTGCAGCTGTGTGTTTTGTAGAGAAGAACATAGTTATGTGATCAACGCGCAAATCAGTGAGCTAATCCGGTTTATTCCCATTTTAAATCATGTACTATTTAACCACGTATGACCAGAACGTAATCTGGATATAATGGGTTCCTCTATGTCATCCTGTTCTAAACATCACCAATTAATTAAGCAAACCACTTAATGCAGGAATGCCGCTACTACTATAGCGGTGCTTGAACTCTATTGTCAGAGAACAAGAGGGTAAATGTCTACACATCGGTTTTTCCAAGACAACGATGAGCTTGTAGCCTTGAATGGAGCAGCGACTGGCATGTAATATTCCCAGGGCCAAGAGATACATGTCATTTGCTATCAGTAATATATTGATTTGAAATGCAAATAAAAAACATTTTCTATGAGACATTTTCCTGACTTTATGTTTCACTATTATATTATGGGCTACTATATAAATCTTTTTAAGCAAACCTGTAAAAATGCAATGATGTCAGAATATTGGACCCAGAATTCGAGGCGAGACAGGCAGTGGGAAAGTTTAAAACGTTTATTAAACACTAACAGGTGAGCGGGGCTGCTCGTCTACTGCAGGGCAGATCGCTGCAGGGATAGGAGAATACTGGGCAAAAAACTCTGATTACTTCCAAAGAAAAATTATTATAAGAGCTGCAGAGTTCAGGATTATTCAACCACTCTGACGTTCCCCATAATTTGGCCTTTCCCGCTAACAGAGAGATTACATAGGCCACCTTGGCTCGATCAGAAGGAAACGCAGAGGGCTGTAATTCAAAATGAATTTCGCACCGAGTCAGGAAGGCTCTACAGACGCGGTTCAAGAGAAGCTGGACTATCAGTAGCAGACGACGGCGCGGCAGCTGTCAGGGGCGGGGCAGCTGGAGCAGCCTGATTAATAATCAAGGATCTCCTGCATGCCTGATTCTTTGATCCACACCATTTCGCCACTGCCAGGTTATTCTGTAATGATCTCAGAATATTGGACCCAGAATCCAAGGCGAGACAGGCAGTGGGAAAGTTCAAAGCGTTTATTAATCAAAACAGGTGCGCGGGGCTGCTCGTCTGCTGCGGGGCTGATATCTGCATGGATAGGAGAATACAGGCCAGAGACTGGATGTGGAGCTGAATGCGACTTGGAGCAAAGTCACTGACTTGAATCAAAGTTCAGTTCATTCGCGGAGAAACTCAGCAGAATACAGAAGGGAGATTTGACCAGCAGTTGTGGCGGCCACGCCCCCAGAGTTTCTAGAGGGCGAGCAGCAGACGCCGCTGATCCACAGGACAGAAAACTGGTCATAATCAGGGAAGCAGACAGACTAAAGAAAGCTAAGAAATGTCTCACCAAAACACACAAATAACCTGGCGCTGATGGGAGGCAAACAATCAGCTTAGAACCGCAGAACCAGGGAGACAGTGAGCAAGAAGCAGAGGAAAAAACCAAACCATCAGCGCCAAGATCATGACATAAAAACCCCATTTCCATTTCTTTCGTTTTTAAAATTAAATGGCAAAAATTCAAACGTGTCTGCTAGTTTAAAGTCCATCTTATTTATTTGAATATTTAACGAAAACATTGCAGATGCTTCACACGCACACAAAATGACAGAAAGATCCGAGCGTTTTAGTTTCTATATAGCCTATATATAATACCTTTCAAAACCTATGAGTGTTTTTAAAATCTAGTGATTTTTTGAAAGAAAATAAAAGAATAAAAATAGTTAAGCATTTTAAAAGCAATTTTACAAAAAAGGAACATAACAGCATTTTTTACATAAATGATTTATTATGAGAACATATCATTTCACCATTTATTGGGGGTAATTAATTGAATGCTTATTTATTTATTGAACATGTATATATTTATTTATTTATTTAGATTGGAGTAGATGTGATTAGATGAGCTTTATTGATCTCACAGCGGAGAAATTCACTCGTCACATATTGGCATAGAAGTTACTGGAGGTGCAAACAGGGAGGAAAAAGGTGCATTAAGAATAAGCAATATATATACAGTATATCCAGGTATATACAGTATATCAAGATAAATAGGATTAAGGTGCAAGTGTACATGTATGGCACACAATGAAAAACAAAACAATAGGAAATAAAAAAAAGAAATAACGATATGTGCAATACGGATGGCTTATATACAGGAGGAGAAATATTGCACATTCAACACATTGCACAGCATATTGTTCACAGTCAATAAATACAAAACTATAATGTAGCTGCACAGTGGTTTTTACAGGAGTTATTGTTGATATAGTGCATTATTATAGAGTCTGGTGGCAGCAGGAACGAATGACCTGCGGTAGCGCTCCTTCTTACAGACAGGGTGTCTACTGTAAGTCTCTGACTAAAGGAGCTGCTCAGCTCCTCTTTTTATACATGGGAGGCTCATGCGTGAATGTCCAACGAATAACTCCAATTGTTGTTTCAAAAATAGAAAACCTGGTTTCGTTACTTTACATTCTAACTTTCATTACTTTATAAAAAAGCGATTAAAAAAAAAAAAACATTTAAGGCAACTCGGCCACAGTTGGGGTTGAACCTGCAATCTGTTGAACCACAGACCACTGAGCTTAACCCCTATGCTATAAGCTCGCAACACGTGACACCCCTCCCAGTCTGCTACTTGTCCAGACTGGGAGGGGTGTCACGTGTTGCACGGCAAGAAAGTAACACACAAAAATAGTGTAACACACAAAAACAAAGCTTTCAACGGCACTTATATTTTACAAAACTAAAGAAAATATATTTTCTTACATACCCTTTTGAATAACTTTGGCTTATCTTAATGAGGAATCAACTTTGGATATGATTTTAATTTCACTATGTTAAATTAATTCACTAACTTTATTTTAATCAAAAACAAAATAAAATAGCACAGTATTACACCAAGATCCCCAATAAACCTGCTTTTCAGTTGACTGCAGGCCCACAAACGTCACCCTCAGCACGG